AGCTACTCAAGAAGCTGAGCTCTGAGGATCGCCATTCAAAGCCAGCCTGGGCAGGAAAGTCCATGAGGCTCTTATCCCCAATCAACCACCCAAACAATGGAAGTGGTGCTGTGGCTCAAAGTGGAAGAGCACTAGCCTTCTAATCTATAGCTTCACTTTACCTATTATCTGTCAGTCATGTCTGCACAGCTCCTCCAAAGTAGCTCACCAATGATTCAGACCAATTCTAGCCTTTGGTTGGGCTCTGTAGCTCAGAAACTACTACTACTGCCTTTAACCTCTCTCCACTCCTGATGAAACATAAGAAAACAGACTCTTAGGAACAAAAGGTATGGCATAAAATTTACACTTCTTTTTCAACTGTTATAAGTAAGGCAAATAAACTAATAAGCTCTTAGTCAAAAACTTAAGCAGCAGAAAAAAAAAAAACATATCTACTAATTTTCCTCTGTAAATTTGCTTAACCATACAAATTTTCTTCTTTTAGCACCCAAATAATCTCCTGATCATACTTTACTCGATAATCACCTTAATATTTACCTAAATCAAAGTTACTGGTTCACTAACTTCTTTCTACTAAACCTAAAATTTCCCTAGAAGAGACACTTCTTGAAATAGGCATTTTACTTATAGCTGTCACCCCTGAACCACTTCTTATATAAATTACTTATATAAATGTAGTATTAAAAAATACCTAACTATGGGGGAGGGACATACAAAGCAACAAAGAAATAATCTTATAAATGTGTTAGAAATAATCTTATAAATGTGCATGAAAGAAAAAAACATCTGAATACATATCTTAGGGTTCATTTCCCTAACATCACCTTATCTGACCTTTTCTGCTTGACTCAGACATATACTAGATACTGCAAATAAGGGAAACCATGGGACCTATGTTTCTTTGTATGTCCCTCCCCCACAGTATAATCCCTGTTTTCACTGTATTTGATGTCAGTATAATTTGTGGAGGGGAAGGGGAAGAAAAACAAATCGTTTAAATAGGGATACAGGTGGATCCATTGCAACAATGAGATGTACAAGTCGTTATGTCGAAAACCAACTTTACAACTTCGGTAAGGGGAGAGGAGGATTGGGTAGGGGAGTGGGGGAGGATGGGAAGGGATGGGAAGGGGAAACAAAGGAGGAGGCTACAAAGCTTGATAAGAAATGTACTCATTATCTTGCCCATGTAATTGTAACTCCTCTGTACAGTATTTTCACAATTAAAAAATAATAATAATAAAAACCTAACTAATCTTTGAAATTCTCATTCCTATTTTTACTTAGAAAATGGTTTGCTCTCTTGTTTCAAATGCAATCAATGACATAGTTAATGAATGCTACAGCTACATATCTTAAAATTAACCTTCAGCAATATTTGTTAAAAGTTATTTTAGGAAAGGAATGATACTATTAAAGTGTTTTTCTTTTCCTTCAAGTTGTAGGATTAGACATCAACACATATTAGGGCCACAGTAAGATTTAGGTCAAATGTCAAGTAAATAATATTGACATAAAAGCCTGGGGTATATTATGCCAACTAGAGTTTAGTACCTTATCCTAAAGTGGCAGCCATTGCTCAACTCTAACAATCGACTCTGAAGCAGAAAGAGCCACCAGATATAAACCAAGTTCTGTGATTTTCCAGGAGACAGCAGAATTCAAGACTTCTTAAATATGCCATTTTCCTATTTCTAAAACATAGCAACTAAATTTCCAGATGTTCCAAATACACCAATACACACACACACACACACACACACACACAGAGGATTTTCTCCAAAAGACTCTTGCGATTGCAGAAAAAGTTCAAAATCTCTGTATACAATCTAAGATATGTCAAAGAAATAACTGTCCCCTACTACCACTTTTAAGCTATACAAAAAAGAGAAAACAAAATAGAACTAAGAACACCATAAAAAGTATAGACTACCAGTGGCAAACTACTTTAACCTTTGCTCTCTCAGGGAAAAAAATTTAGATTAAAAAGTCCTTCATAGCAGAAAAAAATACAGGGAGAAGTTTTTCATTTTTCAATTTTGTTCTAGAAAGTTTAAAAAGCAAAATATTCAAAAAATTTAATAAAGTTATATATACTATTCCAGCCTTAATGAAAAGTATTAGCTACAAACAGAAGACTAATGATTTACCTTGCACAATGAAAAATAAGGTACATAACTCTGATGGTGTCAATATATTGCATTGATCATTCTACATATTGTCACCTAACACTTTTCTGGCCAACAAATGATCTATGAACTCCCTGACCAGGGAATCCTAATCTAACAAAAGTGCACTTAATCTTTTGACCTACACCTTCTTATTATCATGCTATTCATTGTTGTAACTATCAGTTATTAGTAATCAAATACTAATTTAGTCAAAGAATATCTTTGCGATTGTTTTTAAAAAAGATTGCCATTATTTAAACAAGTTGGTAAGGCTTTTCCTATTTGAAAGTAAAATTTGTTTGAGCTTACTATTAGAAACAAACAAATTTAAAATAAAAACGTAAACATAAGCACTCACAGTAATCTTGGCTTAGAATTCAAAACATTTTCTAAAATAGCAATTAAAATCCATGTGTTACATTTAAAATCACAGTTACTCAGGACAGAGACTAAGGCAGGAGAATCACTTGAGCCCATGAATTTGGATCCAGCCTGGGTAATATACTGATGCCTAATCACAAAAAAATATAATACAGTAACATATATGACTTAAGGAAGTCTCTATACCAAAATTAACTACAAAGCAATTTAATGACTAATTGTATTGTTGTTATTGGGGGAAGGGGAAGAGAGAGAGAGAGACAGAGACAGAGAGGCTAAATATTTGTTGCATTTATTACATGTCAGGTACTGCATTAAAAAATTCAAAACACTCATTAAATCTTAAAAATAAAGTAGCATCATTGTACCCATTTTAAAAGATGGAAAACTGACCTTTCTAAGATCACTTTACACTTAGCATACTTAGACAATGCATTGCATTGTTTCCAGTGGCTTAGCTGACCTAAGATTATTAAGGGGTAGGAGGCACAGGTTTGCATACCTGTGATAACTGTATTAGAAACTTAGCTGGGGATGTGACTTGATTTTACAGACTTGCCTAGCATGTATAAGGCCCAGAGTTCAATCCACAGCAGTATAAAAAAAATACGTGTGTGTACATTTACATAACAAGATATATGAAATAAAGGGCTTTTTAGAATATGACCCACTCTTACATAGTCATAGTTTTTTTAATTCTCATATAATAATGATGAAAATTCACCTATGACCTCTCATAAATACAATTTGTTCAAAGTAATTATATTCATTATTAAAATTTTCGTGGGAATAGTCCACTTTCCACTTCACTTTACTGTGAACCTAACATACTCTTTAAAAGTTTACAAACAATTTAAAAACCACAACACACCAAATAAGCCTACCCTAAATATAAGTTAGTTCAGTTATGAAGATTATACTTTTAGTATTAAAAGTTGCAATTTTATTATAGTCACAGTACTGAGCATATGTGATAAATATGGAATTGAATGTTTTTCTCAAACCTACCTCAAGGCAAGCAAGAACTTTACCAGGAAAGTTTGCAATACATAGACATGACATAAATTGGAATAAAATCAAAAAAAGTTAAAAGCTGTGTCAAATGACATAAAAACAGAAAAACATCTGTGTCCAATGGCTGGCATAAGACTTTTTTCCACCTTAAATATCAAAACATGTAGCCTTAGGTCAAAAGTGGATTAGTCTTAGTATGTCCCTTTAAGTCCTTTCTAAGTCCTCTAGAGATGTTTATCCCACTAAAAAACTTTTAGATTGTCACAAGAGACTGTTAATGTCTGAAACCAAATCTTTTTGTTGCAATATTCACCGATGCTGTTGGAATAAAGACTGATGTGAGGGCTGGGAAGGTGGCTCAGTGGTAGAGCGCTTGCCTTGTACGCATGAGGCCCTGGGTTCGATTCCTCAGCACCACATAAGCAAAAGAAAAAAAAAAAGACTGATGTGAAGGACTATTTATCAAATGTTTTGCATACTAACCACTTCCCATTTCAACATTTTCCTTTCACCGAGGTACACATACCAAATCACACACCTAAGGTTCACTTACGAAAACAAGGACAGGGGAGGTTGTAACGTTTGGAGGGATGGGGTGGAGTCACTCGTCCTTGTATGTACTGCAGTAAATTGTCAAAATTAATTTTCAAATAGAATACCGGATTGGCCATCATATGGTGAAAGGGCACATTACTGATGTTTGTTTTGCTTCCATGTTGTATGGACAGAGTCTCAAGATGAAAGCATTACCTGAGTACCAATACACAGGAATCCTGCGAAGGAGTCTCAGACTCTGTGGCTCACTGTAACTCACAAAACAGCTGACACCTGTAACTCCGCACTTTCCTCCCACTTCCCACCCAGACTTTTCCTGAAGCGCTGTGCTTTCCAGGAGACACAAGCTGGGTTTGACAGTGCCACAAAAGCGAAGCACTGCGGGGGGCCAAGGAGTGTTCCAGATCAGATTCACGCAAAAATGCCTCTGACTGCCGATCGTCGCGGCCTTGTCCCTGGACCGCTCAGTCCCGGCGGGGTGCGCACGCAGGTTACACCCTGGGACTACCCCCCACCCGGCGGGAGGGGACAGAACCATATCCGGTGCTCACTAGAATACACATTTCCCCACGCTTCCTAGCCTAAAAAGTAATCATCATAAAGGTAAACAGCCACCACCCCAACAACTGTCCATCCTCCTGGAGGAGCAAATGCGTGCAGGCAGCCGCCAGGGAGTCCGCCCGTCGGGAAGATGCCCGATCCAATCAACTCCCAACCGCAGGAAAACCTGAAGCTCCGAAACTTCTCCCAACAAATCACAGCTTCGCAGAACGCGGTAGTTCTTCACTTCTTCATCCCCCCCCAAAACCCCCCAAACACTGCTTTCCCAACTTCCCCCCCACCCCCCCCCGTCCCGGCCCCACGGTCCGGACTTACTGATTCGTCGGAGGCGCGGTCAGCGGGATGGCCACCTCTTCCTCCTCGTATTCCGGGCCATCCAGAGAGTCACCTTCATCCACGGTCCCCAGGCCCGCGCCCAGCGGGGGCAGCTGGGGAGGCGGCGGCAGAGGCGGGAACCCGGCGCCCGGCCCCAGCG